AGACATTGAATAGCATTGACTGAGAAAGGGGAAGTAGTAGAACATCTTTGTGTCTGTGTCTGAGGAAGGCACAGTGACGTCCTGTAGCTGGGTCCCTGGGTTCTGGAAGAGGGGCAGTAGTGGCAACTGGTATCTCCAGTCTGTGTCCAGCCCAGCTCAGCCCTTATGAAGTTGAATGTCCCCTAAGAGGTGGCTGCGTTGGTACCTGTTAGGATTGCCCAAATCTGGACCTACAATCCCCCAAAAAATCAAACTCCCTGCAGAGGCATCTACCTTCTAAGGGACCTCCCAGGCCAAGCAGGAGGCCAGCAGCGAGGCACTAGCACTTCACAGAGAGCTGCGGAGCTAGATAGCCGCAGGCTGTGGGTTTAGTGTGCTGGCCAGAACTGAGCTGGGCAAGGCGGGAGGCCCGGGCCCTCCTCCACTTCTTGGGGCACGGGGTTGCTATTTTCATTGACTTTGAACATCTTGCTAGCCTTGGTTACACAGGTGCAGGGGGTCTGACATGGCCTTAATTGAAGTTGGGAAAACAAAGGAAACCACACGCATCCTGAGGTTTTTTTTTTTTTTTTTCCCATTTATTTATTTTATTGCATTTTAGGTTTTGGGGTACATGTGAAGAACATGCAAAATTGTTGCATAGGTACACACGTGGCAGTGTGATTTGCTGCCTTCCTCCCCATCACCTACATCTGCATCCTGAGTTTTTGAGGTACATAATCCATATCTATCCTAATAAAAGGTAGTATGCCCTTGATCTAAACAGGCGCACAAGACGGTCTCAAATGCAAAGCACTCATGATTAAAAAACATCCAAATTAATGTTTTTATCCTCATTACAGAATAAAAAATTCTACTTAGAGAAATTAGGTACATTTCACTTGAGAAGAAAATATACCTAATGCCAATCATTTCACATACACATGTACACCCTGCAGGTGCAAGGACCGTGCGCTGGGAGCCGGCGGTTCCCTGTGAGTAGATGCTGAGTCCTGATCCAGTACCTCGTAGTCTTCCTCAGGTTCCTTGGACAAAGGACATACAAGTTCACAGATCTCAGTTGTGCATATTTCCAAGATTGGCTTTCTAGTAACTTTCCAAATCAGCTCTTAAGAGTCATCAACATTTGGTTTTCACAAACTAAAATTGGTCCCCGATGTAGTTACCAAGAACTCTGATGCAGCGTTTTCCTGAGGCTGTCTGTCAAGGCTCCAGGCAACCCCAGCTCCACCACCCCCACAAGCTAGAGAGAGCACCTAGCACTGCATGGGCTGCTGGTAGAGATTTCTGCTGTTTTCCAGAAGAAGGCTCTTCTGTTTATTCATCAGCAGGGCTATCTTGCATTGGTCATAGTTTTCCACAGCTCCTACTATTGCTGTTGAATTGAGAATCGATATTACTGTAAGTGCATCATCATGTTAGATTTGTGTGACTTTGGGCCTCACCAATGGAGGTGGTATGATGCATTTTTATCTCAGGTATACTTATGTTTAAAATTACAGTAACTACCTTTGATGACGTTCTGTTCTGTGGACCCAATAGGAATCATCCATCCCGCTATTGCTAGTGCTAGTGCCGATGGACTTGTAAGTTACAACCACTGCCCCAGAGAAAAGTTGCTTCCCGATGAGTGACATCCCATGATATCACAGAGTTCTTGTATCTTGAAAATCAGGAGAGGATGGATAGGTTGTGGAATCTCTTCTCTCCCTAACTGGGCTGTGAACAAAACAGTTTATTTCAAGTATAAGAAGTCACTTCCACTGTAGAGTATGGTGACATAGGTGAATGCAATTGTAAAAACTCTTCAGTCGTGCACTTGAGAGCTTTACCTTTTATTGAATGCAAAGTATAGCTCAATTAAAAAACAAACTGATAAAAACAAGAATAAGAGGCCAGAGGAGGAGAATAGCGTCTCTTGAGAGTGAGAATTAAGAATGGGAAGGAGGTCCAGCCAAGAATGCATGACCACAACGTAATAAGGATATGTCAGACAAACCCCAAATCAGGAAAGCTCTATTAACAAGCAAAGGGGTCGTATACTCTTAAAAAATGTCAGTGTCACAAGAAACAAAGAAAGTTTTCAAAGGGAAAGTGCTGTAAAGGGCATCATGAAGATCAAATGACAATTTGATTATAGATGGTATATTAAAGTATTGTCAGTGCAGCTATATGAAGCTGGTAACTGTGCTACAGCTATGTGACAATATCCCCATTCTTAGGAAATGTGTTTCAACATATTTAGCGGTAAAGACCCATGAATATGTAACTCACCCAGAAATAGTTTAGAAAATAATGTTATGTATGAATGTGTAAATATGCATGTATATGTATACACACACATGCACACAAATTCTCTGTTGTTTACCTTTGGAAGAAAAGAAAAAGGATAGGTTTGGTTCTTGCTTGAGTCTTATTGCCAAAGTCAGTTAAAGGTTTGACAGGTGTTTTTCCAGCAGCTGCACCTCCAGACAAACCCATTGCCATCAGGATGCCCTCTTTCAATCAGTAACTCCTGAAAGCCACATCATACACATAGCTGATTCATGAAAACCTTGACTCCTGGTCAGGCCACTGTTACCTGGAAATGAATGGGGCTCAGGCAAAGTTTAAACACTGGGACAAGTACATCTATTCAGTTAAATTGAACACACACGACTGAGTGAGAAGGGAGGGAATTGAAGAGAGTGGGAGAGAGAATGCACAAACAAGCAAATGAGCAAAAATGTTAGCAATAGATACATCTGAGTAAATGGTATATATGGGCCACATTCTTTATACTATTTTGCCTGTTATGCTTATTTTGCAAATTTGGAATTATATCTAAATAAGAAGTGTTTTCAAAAAAAAAATTGGGAATGAAGAAGATAGAATTCCAAGAGCTTCATGGTATAAACTTGAGTCAGTTTGGAGCTGTGTCAGTATCCTCATGATGGGAGTCACCGTGGTAATTATGCTGCACTAAAAGTCATAAATGGGTAATTCCAAAGCAATAAAAGCTAGATTGCTTATGTGGCAAACCTGGGAGGATGAGAGAGAATTTCCTTATTGCTTATTCTGCAGAGAAAAGGAAAACAGGACAGGATTTTTGTTGACAAGGCCGGTTGAGGGTTTGGTGAGTGTTTTCCCAACATCTGCACTTTCAAACAAGCAGATTGTTATCAAGATCTTCTCTTTCAATCAGTAACTCCTGAAAGCACTATTTACCCATAGTTGATTCATAAAAACCTTGACTCCTGGACCAAGTCAGTGTTACTCAGAGATGAAAGCAGCTCAGGTAAAGTTTATACATTGGGACAATGACATATATTCTGCCTAATGGCAAAATTTCTCCAGTAGCACCATGGGTTTGGAAGAGGAAGTGGTGCCTAGTGATCTCTCAGTGTGCTTTCAAAGGCCATCATGTTTGATCTTGCCCCTCAAGGTGGCCACCACCCAAGCTCACTTCCTAAGGGATCCACTGTGGAAGAAGCTGGCTCCATCTCCTGCCCACACTAAAGTTGGTCTAATGCAGATAGCAGGAATTTACTCCCTTCCCCACTCACAGATGGAAAATACAGCTTGACTTTGTTCAAGCACACCTTCCAGGCACACAGAAATCTCCCCCTCTACCTCACCTGCTTCTGGGATGAGTTAAAGTACAGATTGCACTTCATTCTCCAATCTCTAGACTGTGGAGTCACGAAGCTGAATGCTCCTAACTCTTCCTCTGATAAAGATAGACTGTTTGCGGGGACTTGGATGTTGACCTAAATAATGAAAGCTGTCTGCCTGTTTGCCAGCATGTGTAAAGCCAAACTGGAACACTGTACAGGGAATTAAACTCAGGTGGCAAAATAGGCTTATGGTCATAGACACACTTCATTCTATTCTTTCCTGGTCATGTCATGTTATGTTACTTCCTGGAGAAGGGAAAGTCAAGAACAAGAGCTTACTTTATCTGCACTGAGTCTGCAAGGTCTGTCTGGCCATGAGTCAAAGCCTCAGAGCAGAGAAGGATCCATAGCAGAGAAGACAAGCATCAGAGAGGGAGATGGGTGGCAAATGAGAGAGATGCAGAGTCTCTGCTGGAGACATAAATAACCCCTGATCTGCTAGCATAGACCCCTGAGGTTGGACAGGAAGACAGCAGCCCTGGGTCCCAGGAATTTGAGGGACCAAGAGTCCCGGTGCTGCCCTACAACTGTTTAGGGCACAGCCTGGACAGGGCTGGAGTGAGTCAGTGAGAATATACCCAACCCTCCAGCCTGTGGGTCCTGCCACCAATTCACATCAGCAACCTTGGTCTCAGTTGGTAACTTATTGAGCCCCTCAACGTTCAAAGCACCGTGCTGAACACTGCACATGTGTTACTTTGCACTCAGGACAACCTATCCCTCTTTTAACGATAAGGAAATGGGCTGAAAATGCTGACCTGCCAAGGTAGATTTTGAATTATTTCCAAATAATTTTAATAAAATTATAAATATTAAATTATAGATTTTGAATTTTGTACATAATTTATAAATTATTTTTAATAAGTGGTAAAGCTAGGATTTGCAGCCAGGACAGTCTGGCTCCAAATCTCATATACATTTTTGCCCCACCACACTGTGCATAAATAAGTGTTTACAGACACACACACACACACACACACACACACACACACACACACACACAGAGCATGTTGGATTTTCTAGCTTCAAAAAAGAATTTGGTGTGCGTGTCATAACTGATTCTTGGCATTCTGTAGTCACATCTGCTTAGAAAGAAGTAGTGATGTTGACCTAAAGTAACTGGGGCTCTATCACGTGGCTGAGATTGTCCCCAGTCTGGTTGTGTGTGTTGGAAGAGGCTCTTCTTGAGAACTCAGTATCCTGGTTTCAGCTGCCAAGGTCAGAAGATTTGGTGAAAGCCAATGGGCTACATGAGAGGGAACTGTCAGAGGGCTGGGCTGGCCCCAGTGCCAGGGAATGTCCAGTCTCTTACCCCTTGCCATCTTCTCTCCCCTGTCTTTGCAGCCAACCTCAGTTTGAAGTCCAGGGCGGCGGCTCTTGGGGAGCAGCTAGTGTACCAGGGGCCCGTGCACTGCATTGCAACCATCGTGAGGAATGAGGGCCTGGCGGGGCTGTACCGGGGGGCCAGTGCCATGCTGCTGAGGGACGTCCCGGGCTATTGCCTCTACTTCATCCCCTACGTGTTCCTGAGTGAGTGGATCACACCCGAGGCTTGTGCAGGCCCCAGCCCCTGTGCCGTGTGGCTGGCAGGTGGTGTAGCAGGTAAGGGCAGCAGCCGCTGGAGCCACACCCCTGTGCTGGCCACTGCAGTGAGACAGCTGGGGAGCTGGCCATGCCCTTTTCAGCCCAGGGGGAGGGCAGGACACAACCAGGGACTCACCCAACAGTTCTTTGCTAGGCACCTACTCTTCCCAGGCCTTCTCCCACCTCACTCTCCTCCCCTCCCCATGTAGCTATGAGAATGGCAGTTCCCATTTGAGCTCGTTTGACTTTCAGGCAACAGATATATTTTGAACACATACTCTTGTGTCAGGCATTACTAAGCTTTGGAAAGGAAATCCATGATCATGGTTCAGTGTATTGAATGCTGGCATGCTGCAACCTTTGTAATGTAAGGATGTCATTCATTCTGCAAGGTAGGAATTAAGTCTCCCCATTTCACAGATGAGAAAACTCAGGTCCAGAGGTGTCAAGTAGCCAATCCCATGTCATACACCTGGTGCTGACAGTATATCAGGGACTCTGCAGCCAGAAAGCTTTAAGTTCAAATCCACACTTCGTCATTTTGTGACCACGGACTGATTGCTTAACCTCCCTGCTCAGAGTCCTGCACCACATCCCTCTTCCATTTAAGGTGAAAGTTGACATCTTTGCAATGGTTTTCCAGGCCCTCAGTGACTTGGCTCCCTGTTTCTCACCCACCTCACTTCTGCTCCTCTCCCCTTCCTCACTCTCTCCAGCCACACTGATCTCTGCTGCAACTTGACCATGCCTGGCTCTTCCCCAACCACAGGGTCCTTGTACCTGCTGCTTGTACCGCCTGAACTTAACAATGTGAAGGCCATTGGGGACTTTGGCAAGGGCCATTTGACAGAGAGAAGGGTGTAAAAACCTGATGGAGTGGGATCAAGAGAGAATGGGATGAAGGATATTGGTGCACCCAAATATACACAACACCTCTGAGGGTTCTGCTATGCTGTAATAAGGAACAGAGAAACAGAGCTATAGCCAGAGGGGCCTATGGAAGCCAAGAGAGGATGCTGTTTAAGAAGGCTGATATCATAGCATGTTTGATGCGATGGGAAAGATCTAATGGAGAGAAAATGATGAATCCCTCCTCTTCCTCCTCCTCCTCCTCCTCCTTCTCCTTCCTCTCTTTCTCTTCCTCATCTCACAATTTGCCATGCTGTCAGCTCATAGCAAACTCACTCATATCAAAGCTCATGTCTTCACCACCTAACTACAGTTTCCCCTTCTGGCCCCCTGGTGCCTGTGCTCATGCCCAGCTCCTAGGAAGAGCTCCATCAGTATCGACTGGCAGAGAGGACAGCAAGTCCCCATCTGTTCTCACTTCTGGGGAGTGCAGGTGTGAATGGCCTGGCAGGCAAATCTCATTTTGTGATGCCCTTAGCCATGGGCTGAGGGACAAGGGAGTGTACTGGGGCAGCACCCAGGGAAGTGGCCCCATTGTCCTGGCAGAAGGCACAGGTCGGAGAGGCTCCTGGAGGTCCAAGGGCAGGAGGCTGAGGGGACCAGAGGCCAGGATAGGCAGAGGGCCCAGGGAAGTCTAAGGTCTCCTTTGGAAGCTACTTGGCAGCAATTACAAAACCATGCAAACCAGTTGCCCTGGACTTTAACATCCATTTGTTTTTCTCTCCCCATCTAAGAATGTGCCAATCTCTGCGTTTATATAATAACCCAACATTGTTTTTCTAGTGTTTACCTGAGCGTATCCCATGAGGACACCTAGGGGCAAATGATCCCAAGCCTTCAAAAACCATTCCCTGCTCTGTTTTTGCAATCCCCAGACTGGCCCTTCCTTGGTGAGCAGCCTGTCTGCGTGTGTTTGCTTAGCTTCTCTGTGTTCAGAGTACATTCTGCCTTCAGGGAGCTGCAAACCTTCAGCCTCATGCCTTGCCCTGGACTCTCTTCTGGTGCCCTGAGAAGGTGCTGCCAAGTACCTGTGGAGCCTGTTACTCTTTCCCCAATAAAAGCTGCTAATAAAGACTGCCACGTCGTGAGCACTGGCTGGGGACCGGCACTGTGCTCCATGCTTCATATTCGTCCGTTCATTTGGTCAAGACAGCCCCACAAAGATAGGTGCTGCTGCCTCATTTTACAGATGAGAAGCCCAAGGCTTAGAGAAGTAAAGAAACTTCTGCCAAGTCCCACAGCGAGTGGCGAGGGTGAATCAGAAACAGACTTTGCAGGTTCTAAGCCTGAGCTCTGTCCCTTCTCCCAGCTTAGTAAATCTCTGAATGGTAGAAACTTGCAAGGAATTTCTACCATTTGCAGGCCCCTCCAGACCCTAAGGAGCCAGCCCTTGACACCTGTTTCTTTCTCTTTGCAGGAGCAATTTCTTGGGGGACAGCGACTCCTATGGATGTTGTGAAAAGTCGACTTCAAGCTGATGGGGTTTATTTAAACAAATATAAAGGTGTCCTGGACTGTATCTCCCAGAGTTACCAGAAGGAAGGTCTTAAAGTAAGCCCACAGCAGGCCTGCGGGGTCAGTGTCTGTCCCTAGAAGGTGGCTCACACATTTAGGGGGATATGGGACCATAGAGAAGGGAATCGGGAGACCCAGGGGTTGGTGGTGATTATGTATCAGGCACCACAAGCGGGTGCTTTGTCAAGCACTTCACCGGGGCGGTCTTTTCACATGGCCCGTGGAGGAGGTAGGTGCACGGCCGACCTGACAGAGCTCAGAGAGGGCTGGTAAGCTGCCCCCAGCCACACAGCTGGTGCATGGTGGAGCCTGGTCCATGTCTGTCTGTCACCACAGTTCGCCTTCTCATCAAGATAGGCTGGGCGGTCCTTCCTCACAGCTCAGTGCCTTCCCCACTCCGCGACCCCATGGGAAGTCCCAGAGCCACCTTGCCTCCTTCCTGTCCTCAACCAGCTCATCTTACCAACTCCAGGCCCAGTGGACTGTCTTCTGCTCTCCCACCTAAGCCCCGACCCCAGACCTCTGGCCTCGGCTGAGGAGGCGGCCTCTGACCCGCTTCCCTGGGCTTTGTCTCCTCTGTTCTTCCTACAGCTCGAAAGCTTAACCCAACACACACCCCTTCCCACCACCTGAAAAGGTGCTACCCCAGGACAGACCAGACTTCCATGTCTGGTGTCCAAGGTCATAAACAGATTCCTCACCCTCCGGAGAAACCATCCCGCTGGCTCTTTCTTGCATGGGCTCCTTGCTTTCTTGGTGTGGCTCTTCAAGTCAGCAGATATGGGTTCAACGTCAGATGCAGCTACTGTGAGCTGGCAGAATCCAAGCAAGTGGCTTCGTGTCTCAGGAACTCAGGCTCTTCCTGAATGATCATCCTTTCCATGAGGGGCAGGGCGTTTGTGGGTTAATATAGAAAGCTCTCCGTTCAGTATGTAACCCATAGGGAAGAGTTTACCCTGTCTCACTGGCATTAGCATTCTCAGTATTGGTTTATTAGCGCCAGTGTTACCCTGGAGCTCTGAGTCTTTTCTCACGTGGCTGCCCCACCCCAGGCCCTGCCACATGAATCTGCCCCCTCCTTCCAGGCCCAGCGCAGTCCACCACCATCCCCAGAACCCGTGTCATTGTCTTGCTTCTCCTGTACCTCTCTCAAGGCGCCTCTCACACACCACCACGGGTGACAGCTCTTTCTATACCTCCTTCTCTGTTTCTTAAAGCAAGTTTCCTGAGGTCCTGTTTTATACCCTCCCCCAACTTGGGAAAGATCCAGAGTTGGGATGACCCAGTGTTGAGGTGAATGACTAACATACCACATGAGAGGAACAAGATGCAAAAGCTAGATCAAAGGGCCGCATCTAAAGTACAGAACTACCAGAAGTCACTGTAAAGTCCAGCCATTAGTATTCAATAATAGATCAATCACCTCTGTAGAGGATGGGGCAATCTGATTTGATGAAGGCTCCTAGGGAAAAGTGCCTAAGGGCTTTGGTTTTCAAATGCTTATTTTTAGAGAACCTCATATGTGGTAGGCACAGTTCTAGGAGCTGGGGACAGAGCAGTAAACAAAAGAGAAAAAGCCCATGCTCTGATTAGCTAATATGGCAGTGAGCCAACAGTGAGACCTGTCCCAAGGCTGCATTCATAGAAGTATAGTGGGTAGGATAAGGGAGGTGGAAGCCTCTGCCCTGACCATATTACAGCTGGAATGTTGCATCTACCTCTGGTCACTGCCCATTAAGCAAGACCCTGGTGGTACCCAGGAATGAAGAGCAGGATATCATAGCAAGTGGGGAAAGGCTGGACCCTGGGACTCTGGTTAGTATGAGATGTGATACAGAGGAAGCTTGATTTCTGTCTTTATGTGTTAAGGATGGATAAACTCAGAGCTTCACTATTCTCATTGTTTTAAATTCCTTTTTAAATTTTTTAACAAGAGCTGTTCTGACAGAAGGGTGAAGCCCAGCCCTGGTGCAGCCTCAATTGTCTTTTGTATCTTCTGTTTCTTTTGTTTTGTTTTTAGCAGAAGTGCAGTTTGTGATTTAGCCAGTGAGTGCAGAGAGATATAAAAGTGTTTCAAATAGATGATTTATTTTTATTTGAGATGTTTTTGTCTACTTCCCCAAATATGAATGTGTCATAATTCCTAAAAAGTCTGTAGAGGCAAAATATATTGCTGACATTATTTCCTTGGAAAGTAACTGTGCTCTCTGAAGAAAAGTGAAGTCCTGGAAGTCAGCTGAGTTCAGACGATTGGTTTCTCCGTCTCAATACTATTTGATCTGTAGTGTTGGATGAGAGTCAGATTTTCAGTCAAGATAATAATACTCAGCTTGAGTAAACCACAGCATGATCAGACCATTCAAGGTTAATTTTTCTAAATTTGTATTCATTGGTTAAAAATAGATAACATATGAACATAGGAAGCTTCTAAAAGTACATGAGGATGTACTGTCTCCGTGCCCTGCCTGCAGTCCCTGTCCTCCCTCAAAGGCAATTACCGTAAAGTTTCTTATGATACATTCCAAAAATATTTACAGTATATACAAGAATATATGTGTATGTATATATCTATGTATGCTTATATATGTGTTTACTTATGAACATAAATAGTAACATAAACATAACCACACCACCTAGAACAATCAGGTTGTCTCAAAGGCATTTTTTTTTTGAGACAGAGTCTAGCTCTGTTACCAGGCTGGAGTGCAGTAGCATGATCTTGGCTCACTGCAACCTCCGCCTCCCAGGTTCAAGCGATTCTCCTGCCTCAGTCTCCTGAGTTGCTGGGATTACAGGCACACACCACCACACCCGGCTAATTTTTGTATTTTTAGTAGAGATGGGGTTTCACCATGTTGGCCAGGATGGTCTCAATCTCCTGACCTTGTGATCCCCACACTTTGGCCTCCCAAATTGCTGGGATTATAGGCATAAGCCACCGTGCCCGGCCATTCAAAGGCAGTTTTCTAGCAGCTGCAGGAGGAGGAGGTAGAGAGGATTCTCCCAGTGCCCCAGGGTTGCCCCCAGTTCCCAGCTGGCTTGGGCTCTGGCCATATGGAGCATTCCTCCCCAAGCATTCTTGGCTGTGGCTGGCAGAGGCAGATCGCAAAGCCCCAAACCCATCATCATCCAACCTGTTCTTACCTTCCTAGGGAAGGAGAAGTTGGTGACAGTAAAGAATTAGAAAGGCATTAATCATGATGATGGAGACCAATTTGAGTAGTTCTTTGTAACCCACTTAGGGATGATCAGTGGTGCAGCCTTTGTGGCAGGGAAAATCAAAAGTCCAAGGACTTGTCAGGGTACCCCCAAGTAGAAACAGAAGAAAAGCCTGGTAGTTTTGGAGCCATTCTCTGCCTGCTGTGATGGTTGTCTTGGGCTACGTGGGTCATAGCTCTGAGTTGGAGAGTTGTCATCTGAAATAATGAGGCAGGTGAAGCACCTTGATATTCTTGGCTCCGTGGAAGCAGCTGCTATGGAGGGGCTGTGGCAGTGAGATGAGGCTGGATGAAAGACAGAGGGCATTTTTAGGTAGACAGCTTCTGGAGGCACCAGGGCCAGCTGCCCTGGGGTGCCGTCCCTGGGGAATCAGAGGCTTCCTACCACTCTAGGAACCCCCCAATTGCAGCCACCAGGACTCTTTCAGTTCAGAGGCTCTTTCATGTCCAAAAGTTCATTTATTCATTCATTCATTCATTTACTCATCCATCCATCCATTCATTCACTGGTTCACTTAATGTGTTTATGAAAGGTCTACTCTGGGCTAAGTGCTTGCAGGGGCTGGGGCTTCAGAGGCAAACCACACACACAGCCCTGCATTCACTGCCCTGACTGTGATGGCTAACCCCACCCTCACCCCTGTTGTCTGTTCTTCCTGACAGATAAGTCAGGGACACTTGGAGAACAGTGTGAGGAGTGCTGTGATGGGGAGACACTGAGTGCACAGAAGGTGAGGGGCCATCATCCATCTGGAGGTGACCATGGGGACACTGCCAGGTTGCAAGCCAGGCCTGGGAAGCACTCCAGGCAGAGGGGACCAGAAGAGGCTCTGTGGAGGAAGAAGGCTGGCCCCTCAGAGGAATGACAGGCTGTTAACCTGCCCAGAGTGTCAGGTGTGAGAGGTTGCCCAGAGAAAGTGGAAGGGAGAGAATGTGGGTCCTTGCAAGCCAGGGAAGGGTGTGGACCTGACCTTAGGCCATAAGGAGCCATTGAGGCTTTGTAGGGTGGAAGTGAAGAGGGGCTCGGTCTGGAGTCCGTATGCTCTGGAAGCTCTGGGTAAAAGCTGGCAGGTCTGCACTTTGCCTTCCATGGGCTCTGCAGCAGAGCAGGCCACAGCTGCCAGAAGTGACCCACAGCTCCTGCAAGGCCCGGTGCTGTGGGACAGAAGGCTCACACTCCAAGCTGGGTGCTGCCTGCCTCCACCTTGCAGATGAGTGCCAAGCCCAGACCCACAGGGGAGCCTCTGTGGGCACTGGGCATGGAATTTTCCTCTCAGAGTTTGACCCAGTTGCTGGCTGTTATTCAGTCACTGTGGATGAGCCTGTGGAATTTCAGAAAGGTCAGACGTTAGGGAAGAGTGCTAATGTTACCAGGATCTCGCTTGCACCTCGGCTGAACAGCTCGAGGGCTTGGCTGAGCCACTTGTTCCTCCCTAGGGATCCTTGTCCATCAGCTCCTTTCCCAGGGCCACGCTGCACCCTGGAGGCCGCTGTGAGGTGCAGGCACCTCTCCCCAAGGAAGGTCACCTGATATCGGAGCCAGTGACAGAGGCCTGCACCAACTGTGATACCACAGTGCCCAGAGACTGAGGAAACTGGGGAAGGGCAAAGGGCTGGTTTCTACTTTTTAAAAATGACCAGCTCTGTTTCTCAAACTTAGAAAATCATACACGAAGTAGAGTAGGTTTCGATTTGTGCCTGACAGTTCTCAAGTCACTTACATTTTTGTGGGGACCTGCTTTTAGATGGTTGTTTCTCCCAGAGGATGCATTAAAGGCCGGCTCCTCTGCACCGTCCCCCTCGCCAAAGCTCTTATCTGCTCTCATCATTTTCTGGGTCATGTTGTGATTGTTCCTGAGTGGGGCTTATCTCCACTAATAGGTTATAACTGCTTGAGGGTTGGAACCACATCACATTTAGGAGCTGACACCCAATACCATGCAAGAAGCTTGAGGTAGGAAAAAAAGATCATGGGCAGTGTTTGGGAAGCATCACATAATGCTCCCTAGAGATGGAAGACAAATATAGGTGTCATGGAGCAGCAAAGGCAGAGTTATCAGCTCATCAGCACAGGCCGTTCTTCCTGAGCATGCATCCTGGTGATGGAGATTGAGATTGAGTCCTACTCCCTCTTAGCTGATAGACCATTGATAAGAACAAGGAGGGTGATGATGGTAATCAGTATTTAAGGCGTGCTTCTACTGTACGCCAGGCACTGTGCAAGTGCTGGAAAAGCCTCACCTCATTTAGTCCCTCTAACATCCTTATCAGGTCAATTCTCTTATTAACCCCCTCTTACAGTTGGGAAAATTGAGTTCCAGAGAGTTTACCACTGGCCCAAGTAACACAGCTTCTCAATGGGAAAGCTGTGCCTCAAACCATGTCTGCAGAGTCTTAAGCACAGCTCCAGTTCTGTTCTCTACCACTTTGGGGATGTCCTGTGAAGCCCCACCACAGTGAATGGGCATGGCTGGGTGTTCTGTCTACTTAGGGCTTCCAGATTCCCGAGGATCATGTGTATGCATCTATGTGTGTGTGTGTGTGTGTGTGTGTGTGTGTGTGTGTGTGTGCACGTGTGTGTGTGCATGTGTGTATACACATGAGAGAAGAAGAGAGAGAGAGGGCAATTTAAAAAGCATATGTAGGTGTTTGCCAGGCCCAACAGCTTGCCTGTAGTGTTTAGTGCATGTGTATCAGGGTCTGGGAGGAAAAGCACTATCAGGCATGACATGGGTCAGGGCAGGGCGTGACTGGAACTTCCCTGTGTGATCTCTGCCTACACAGGTCCTCTGGGCTCTGTCCAGGAACGGGGCCTGGGTGTGCCAGGTGGTGGAACGGCCCACCACGAGCCGTTCTCTATTGCTCCTCGGTGGCCCTGCAGAGGGCGTGGGTCAGTCCCCTGCAATAACCGGGCCCCTGTGCAAAGGTGTTTTTCAGAGGCATCACTGTGAACGCGGTGCGGGGCTTCCCCATGAGCGCGGCCATGTTCCTTGGGTACGAGCTGTCACTGCAGGCTATCCGCGGGGACCACACCGTGACGAGCCCATGAGCGCCAGGTCAGTGTGCTTCCATCCTGGCCAGTTGTGCCTCCTGGAAAGTTGAAACTCTTTTTTTTTGTCATGAGAATGTTGTGACCTTCTGAAATGTCCTGTCGTTTGTCACATATCTAATCTGTGGTAGGCCGGGGCCATCCTTCTTGTCATCAAACAGCAGTTCAGAAATGCCCACCAGTGACGGTGGTATGCTGGGTCCCCAGGGACTGAGTCTGGCACAGAATGTGCCTGTTTCCAGACAGCTCACCTATCCATCTTTCCATACAGCAGCTTCAACACCCCTTGCAGAGAAGGGCTTTTACCTTCACTGTGCAGACGCAGTGACCCAGGCTCATAGGTGAGGACTGCAACCAGGAAACCTGCAGGGGCCGTCTCCCCACCTCCCTACTGAGCTGAGCCTGACTCAGAGCCACCCACAGGCTCCCAGAGCCCTAGAGGATAGGTCTCTGCCACCATTTCTTGCCTCCCATACCCTCTTTCTTTTTCTTTCTCATTGCAGAAAGATCACAGTAGCCTGAGGACTCTTCTAAAGACAGAAATCTGACTCCCATGCTCACACGCCCTACTTGGCTCTCCATTACCATGTAGATAAAAAGCCTTCACACTGCCTCCTCTGGCCTCATCCCTCACCACTGTTCTGAATGTCCCGCCCTCTCTCTTGCCCCTAGGTCTTTGCTCAGGCTGGTCCCTCTGCCTGACATCCTCTTCTCGCTCCTTCCCCGCTTGTTCTTGGCTTCACCAGCTCTTTGTCACCCAGGCTGTAGAAGTCTCCTCCTCCAGGATGCCGGCTTGCTTTCTCAGCTGGGGTGAGTCGTGCCTTCTGCAGACCATCCCCCACCCCCACCCCCACTGCATCCTAAGTGCCAGAGTACGCCCTCACTTCCCAGGCAGGGCTGCTGCAGCCATCCCCACCTTTGCACTGATGGTGCCTGGCACAGAGCCCAGCACACAGAAGACCACTCAGCAGAGCTTTTGGATGGTAGATAACCAGCTCCCTGTATCCCCGCAGGCCTCCTCTTCCTCCTGTGCTTTTTATTCCTCATTGCTCTTTATCTGGTCCCAAACTGGCTACCTGGAAAGCCCAGAAGACAAAGTAGGGGTGGACTGAACTTTCTAGTCGACCAAGAGGCCATTTGACTCAGCCTTGGTTACCACAAACTCTCTTAGGAAGGATGATCTTTGTCTCTAAAACCTCACTGCTGCCTCCCCTGTGAGCTGGCAGGGGCATTCTCATTCTCGGGACAGCAGAGCCCTGCCGTGGTGCATGGGCAGTGCCAGAACCTGTGCAAAGGGCGGGAGCTGACCAATCAGGCTGACTGTAGTGAGCCCAGGACAAGCCCCAGAAGCTGGCTTCAAATAAAACACTCCACTTTTTGCTAAAGTGGCAACATTCACAGCTTTTCTGGCTTTTTGCCCTTTCTTATAAAAGGAAAAGGGTAGCAACACAGTTTGCATAATTAAACATCTTGAGTGAAGAGTTACTGCATTTGGGTGATGTCCAGGACAGGGAAGGAATTTGTCTTATTCTCAGAGCTGTGCTCAGATATTGGCCATTCCGCCTTTTAACAGAGAAAAGTAATTTCTTTAAAATCCTATAATAAACGCCATGCATTTTTGTTGTAGAAAAATATAGAAAATTCAAATAAACAGAAAGAACAAAATAACAAGACCTGTCATCACAAGACCTTGTTATTATCCTTCCAAGGCTGTCTTATGTGTATTTCCAAATCGGGATCCTGCTCTACACAGTGTTTTACAGCCCTCTCTTCCCATTTAGTAGTTTGGGACCATTTTCCCATGTCACGAAATCTTCAGCTACAAGATGGTTTTAATGCCAAGACCTCCCAGATCTCAGAGTGGCTGGATGCCTGCCCAACCTGTCGTACCTGCCACTGTGACCAGCCTGGTGATTAACTGCTTCAGGACAAAGGAGGAAGTTTCTAGCAAGCCAATCACGATTGTCCTGCATTTGGCCTTTCACAAGCAGTGACCAACCCCAGTGGAAGCTTTTCTTTCTGAAAGCGCTCTTTCTTATGAGGAGCATGGCTGGCTATCTGCCTTAGGAGGGAGGACTGCTAAGGCAGGGAGGAGGCTGCTGCCTCCTGGTGGGAGAGGGAGGTTCCCGGTCACCCATCTGCAGATTCATCTTAAACAAGTCTTGCCCCTGGCATTCAACTTCCTGCTCTAACCCAAAACACTAAGGCCTTTTAATGAGACTGGCTCTTAATTCACCAAGTAGCTCTGAGATTTGGGGCAGGCCATGGTCAGGCAGCAGTCACACCCACTCTTTGAATGCCTCCCACATTGTCTAGACCCAGGACAGAGTGAGACGGCGTATATTAGAGATCTAGGGAGGCAAGCAGTCCCTAAGAAGTGGCAGGGTGGGGACCATCTCAAGAGTTCCTGGATACAGATGGCAGGAATGACTTGAGAATTGTTTCTAAAAGCTTGCAGGAGATAGATGACCCAGCTCCAGCAGCACCAGGTGCCTTCCAACAGCCAGGCACAGAGATCTCCCCCAACTCCTCTAGGTCCCGTGCAGGAAGATCAGTAACCTTTGGTGGTAGAAGTGGTATCTCATCCACTCAGCAGTGGCTGGCTCGTAGACTTGTCTGTGGCTCATGAATCTAACTCTGCCATCCCTACCTGTCCACCAAGACCAGACCCCCAGAGCTTCCTGGAATAATGCTGGCCTGCCCTCTGTCCTGACATGCGCCCTCCAGACCTCATTAGCCTACCTTCAGTTTCAGGAAAACCCATGTTCAAGGAAAGAAGATACAGTCTTCTTATGATACCTTTTTATACCTTTTTTGAACATTTACAAGTAGCCCTGGCAACCCTGAGAGCCTCTGCCTGTCTGTACTTTGCCTCTTGGTGCTTCACATACCCAGTCTCCAAATGGGTTGTTTGACCCCGAGATCCAAGATTTCAAGACTGCAGTTAGATGACGTTCTTTTCTTTCCTCCTTTTTCCCAGGGCTTCATTCCATTAACAGGTCAATGCAAAAGTGTCTGCAGAACCCATGGTGTGATTTACGGAAGAGAAAGATGGACTTCCCACCAGGTGGGCTTTCAGCCAAGCACGCTGTCCTCAGAACCCCTTCTTCCTTCCTTCACAAGCACTCTGATCCTCACCCTGGCTGGGGCAGTGGAGCTCTAGCCTTGGAGGGATGCAACTGACCATTGGTCAACTGATCAACTATTTTGGTTTTGGATTTGCACCGGGTAACAACAGACCAGAACAAAACAAAACTAGATTAAATTGGCTCTGCCCCCATGGCTGTTGTAAACTCACTGGGAATTCACGGAAGAGCTGGAGTTGGCTCTAAGTTTCCAAATAAAAGCATTAAAAACCTCTTTACATTGTTTCTGTAGCAGATGCCTTTGCCTGATTTCCAAGAGAGGCACCTGGCCACTGTCATTCCTCTCTCTGTTCAGGCCTCTGTGGGTATTACAGGCCCAGAGGGAAACGCCCTTCACACAGGTGAGGAGAGAAACTGACAGGGGCAGCCTGGCTTCTTTTTTCCCAGATGCCTAAGGTCAGCAGGGGAGGGCATAGCAGATGAAAAGGGCAATGAGGGACAGAAACCTAGGGGTACTCCCACCCTGAGCAGTGACACATGTTGGTGACTTGCTTCAGAGAGGCTGGCCCTTAGCTTGGTTGGGGTGGGCACTCTCTGGGCCTTATTTTTGCATGGAGAACTAAACAAAACAAAATACTTGGTCCACAGTCTGGCTTCCAAAGTGACTTCATTGTTCTAAATTTTATTCCCTACTAGAGCCACGTGGAGAGGCCATTAATATTTTACTGTTACGTGGCTTGAGTCCCTGCAGCCTCTCCCAATTCTATGCCCACAACAAGCATTCCCAGCCAATCACAGAGCCCTTTCTTGATGAGCTGAATGGCGCTGCAGAGTCCACAGCACAGTGCCCTGGCAGCCACCACCAGCTGCGCAGAACTGTCATACAAAATAAATCTATTTGCCATCCCTGGCTTAAATCCCAGTGCAGGAAATGCCCCCAAATTTGTTCTTTTTTCTTTCCCTTGAAAAGGTCTTCCTTGGTTTATCCACTACCCTGTTCCCCCACCATCCCCTGTCTTTGAGTGATTTGGCATGTCTGAAAATTCTCTGCCTTAACAGACCCAAGACAAAAGCAATGCTATGGTGCAAACAAGTTGAAAGTGCTCAGTCTCTTTGGTGTAAAACCTGTTCGTGGAGCGGAGGGTTCCCTGCTTGAAATAAAACCATCAGCTTGCCCTCCTCAATCTTTCTCTTCACAGCCTCTAGGACTGCAGGGTACCCTGGGCATCTCTGTAGGCTGCAGTTCAAGCTTCCCACCCTCCAGCAGTGGGATATTCATTCATTTGTTCAGTCAGCAAACATTTGTTGAGCAGGTGCTGACCTAGGTGGTGGGAACAGCCACGAGGGACTCCAGTGGCACGCCATTCTGGTGCATTGGAGAGGCTCTGTTGACTGGAGAGACAAGCCTGCCTGTCTGCTCCAGCCTCACTGGGCCTGGGTGGGCACAGAGGATGAGAGTGGAGAGATGTTTCTGTCACCTGGTTCATCCCTGGGTAGACCTGAAGTCTCTGCTCTAACACATTCTAGAATGTGTTTCTTAAGTCTGCCTCAACTGGACCATTTCCCGGTGCTAGGCATGGTTGCATAGTTTGTTTAGCAGTGGTGCTGTGTCCAGAAGGCCAACTGGGGTCTTCTACTGGATGCTCCTGATGAGGCTGAGATGCACCAACCACTTTCTTCAGGTGTCTGAGCCTTTCCTAGTTTCTATTAATCATCACGGCACCTCTTGATAATAGGAGGAGGTAAGCAGAGAGAAGCATGCTGATCCAGTTTACAGATGAAGAAACTGAGGCTCCAACATAACTGAGCCCCAGCTCAGGACTTTACCACCAATCACATTTGATAATCTTCCTGAGGCTACACTCCCCTGCTGTCCAGCCCAGGGAACATCGCCAGCAGCCATGATGATAGCTATTTTGTGGTGTGAAAAAGATAAAGTTGTTGGGGCACATAAGTGTGGAGTCTCAAACTGCTATTGAAGGCCTCCTATGAACCACATCAGAACTGCCCTTCTGGACTCACCTCCCATTGCTCTGGTCCAGGCTCTCTGTGCTCCCATCATTTCCCTCATTCTGTCCAGTGCCAGGCATATAATGGGCATTTAAATGTTTGCTGAAAGAATTCCCAAGTGATCCAACCAGCCTGCTGGGCCAGCTGCTGTCTGCCCAGCACCCTCTAGGCTTCCCTGCCTCTGTGCTTTTCTTTAACCTATAGGACACTCTTACCCCCAGCATCACCAGACACAGGAATGCTCCCTGTTTTCAGCCCAGCTCAGATGCTTTAAGCCCTTAGGTGTTTGGGCTTCCTAGATTCTCTCTCTGTCTCTTCTCCCAGCAGCATCCATGGCCCTTCCAGCGACATGACCCCTCTGGCACTGTGTCCCTCCCTGTGCTACAGTCATGTCTGTGTGCCCTCTCTTTCTCACCAGACTGTGCCCACCTTCACGGCCAGGACTGAGTTGTACCAAGTCTTAGATTCAGCATAGCAGCAAGCACAAACAGCGTTTAGAATAAAGGAAGCATAAATTAATGGGCAAAAATGCAAGCATGACCATGTTAATTGAGAATTGCTTGTAATAATGAAAATTCAGAAACTTTCTAAATGCCTATCAATAGAAGAGGGAGTTAAACAAATTGAGATGCATCCATACTCTAGAATAGTATCACACAGCCACTAAAAAGAATGAGGTGGACTTTAAATATATTGTCATGGAAATATGTCAGCAACATTGTAAGTGCAGAAATGGAAGGGCGGAATAAAGTATATGATATTATTCATTTTCATTTAAAAATATATATTATATATGTGTAACTACATGGGCAATGAAAAACTCTGGGAGGGTACACACCGAATTTAATAGTGGCTATTTCTGGGATGTAGGATTGGGAGAAGGCTTTTAGTTCTCACTTTGATGATGGTGATTTCTTTGTACATCACTATAATGATGGTGATTTGATGATGGCGATTACTACAATGTTTCGATTTTTTCCAGCATGTACACATTGTTTTTATAATTTCTTAAAATAAAAGCACATCTTATTGCAGAGCTAGGGCTCCCTGCTGGGCACTTGTTTTTCAGGCTGCAGGCTGGCTCTGCCTCGCTGCCCAGCCTCAGCCTGGCTCTGAATAACAGCGCCGGCCACCGCTCCCCACCCCCGCCCTCCTCCATGCTGGGCAGACACTGCCTCAGCACACCTTCTGCACCCTCACTCCCACCCAGGAACACCTGGGCTGTGATGAATGAAACTCAGCCTTAATGAAGAAACTGGCTCCAACCCAAGCAAATCTCATGTGGTAGCCAGAACTGGGAGGGGTCAGCCAGCAACAGTTCTGCTTCAACTTTTCTGGAGGGCAATCTTGTGGAATAGTTAGGGTCAACAACTTGGGAGTTTTCCCCCATCAACACATTATGGTTTTATTTAGCCAAATATATATGTATGTGTGTGTGTGCACACTCATGTGTGTGAGTGTGTGTGTGTGTATAGTCTGACACTGCCCAGTGCTGTTCTAGGTATTGAGTGAAAATGGCAGGGAGCCTGCCCTCAGGAAGCTTAGCATCAGGCATTAATTTCTGTGTCATGATCGGGAAAGTCATTAAACAAATGGAATTCTATTTTTAAGAAGGATGAAAACAGAACAGAATTCCAAGCCAAGCACCAGTTTTGGTGTCTGTGCCCTGGAGTTGGGGGACTTCAGGGTTGGCCAATTTGCCTTACTAGGAATGATAAAAAGAAGAACAAAAACCATTGCCATATACAGCAGCAGTTCTCAATAGCAGCCTCTTTCACTCCTAAAAATTATTAAGTATATATATGCAAAGAAGATCTGCATATATATACCAACATTTACCAGAAATTCAAGCAATTTCAACAATATTTATCCATTTAGGTATAATAATAAACCCATGACATTTTACATAAATAACATTCTATATAAATAGCGATTCTTTCTAAATCAACATAATTAACTAGAAGACTTGCATTGTTTTCTCTTTTTGCGGCTAAGTCTGGCTTAAACAGAGGGAAATTGTTCCCCTGTCTGCTTTTGCTTTTAGTCTATGGGTTATCTCTTGCAATGTAGCCTTTGGGAAACTCCACTGTACGCTTGTGAGAACATGAGATTGAAAAGAGCAGATAACATCTTAGTGGTCTATGAAAATAGTTTTGACCTCGTGGGATCTCTTTGAGAACTCCTGCCCTAAAGGAAAAAAAAAACAACCCTCACCCGAAGGCTGATACCCAGCAGAACCGCCACTTGGTGGCAGCAGAGGTCAACCAAACCCTCCGCAGGAGTCCGCGTCTGGGGGTGCAAGACCTTGGCCCTGAGGGGAGAGCACCAGGGCCCCGTGACACTTCTCTTCCTGTTTGCTGGGTGTCTCCATCTCCCGTGGTGTTGCCCTTTTCCTTCTCTGTAGTGGAAAGAACTGCACAGGAGGGAGACCTTCCCCTTGGATTCCCGTTACAGGTGGGCCATCGGCTACCTGCGTGCTCTTGCAGGCATCGGCGCCCCTGAGCCTTCTGTAAAATGGACACACTGCTCTCCCTTACCTAACTTGCACAGCTTTCATAAGAATCAAGGGCAAAAGTGGTTTTGTAAACTGTAAAGTGCAAAACAGGGGCTGGAGGAAGAGGGGCACGGTGTGATTTTTCTGGTTTCTGTTCTTTGCCTGCCTTCTTCTCTGAGTCTGGGTTGTTTGCTTTTCCAGGAGGTGAACACAGGGTGACTCCGGTGTTCCCTCATCTCTGCATGTGAAGCCCTGAGAGCTGCAAAGGTTTGGCCTTTGGACCTCCGAGTGGACACCAGTTAGCAAGCATGGGCTAGGATGGTGCAGACACTGACGTGGCCCGTCTAATGCCTGAGATGCCTCATGAGTCATTGATTCAAGCCTTCCAAGGTTCTGACCCCCAATGCCCACTCTGCTAGGCTGGCATCAAAGAGGTTTCCAGGAAATGTTTGGTCCAGCAGAGAAGTACAGACCATGAACACCACGGAGCCAGAAACCATCCAGAGAGATTTTGCTTCGCTCCTCTGGCTGGGCCTGGGGAGGGGCCAGTGAGCCACGCCCTCAAGTCTCAAGCCCCACATCCCCGTGCCTCTCCTCTTTTCTCAGTACCGACCACGTTTCTCCTCGCTTCTGCACCCGTGGACCCTGAGGACAGCGGCAGCGCCTTCCTCACCGCACACTGAGCCCAGGGCCTGCTCCTCACTGCGCACTTACTAGTGTCTGTTGAGTGATTGAATCACATCCTCAGGTCTGCAACAAATAAATAAAGCTTGCTTTATTTTTTGTTAACTGAAATTTTTTTTCAAGCTGACAACAGAAAAAAATAATTTTGCTATTTCAGGGTAAAACTTAGAAAGTCCAAGTTAAATGCTCAGTTCAAGATTTTTTCCTTCTCCACCCTCCCCTGGGGTTGGCTTTAAATCGGGAGAGGCTTCAGGGTCCTGGGAGATGCTCTGTCCTACCCTGGTGTTCTTCCTGGCTAGTCCTGGGCATGGCTTTCCCTCTAGGGCGGCTTCTGAAGAAGCATCTTCACTCCCATTTGGTCCCTGACACGTGGTCCACATATATACCCATCCCAAGGCCTCTCCAGCCTTATCACCCTCCAAGACACATCAGTGCTCCTCTCTGTCCTGTATAAACATCTGTGGTTTCTCCATTGGAACTATTCGGGGGGCTGCATCAAGCTCACCTTCCTAGGGCCTGTGGGTGGTCCTCCCTATAACCCATCTTACGTGTGGTGGCAAGAGGCATTATCTTTTCATGCCATCTCCCAGGGCGTTCAGGGCACGCGGCTCATTTGCCCTTCACTCTTGGTTTTCTACCATCCCCTGGAGTTCTGCACCCTACCCCGAGGCTCTGCTGGGGGTCAGGCAGACAGCCCTTCTCTAGGGAACTCAGCTGTGTCTGCCATCGTCCCCTCCTCTCTGACTTCTCTTCCACAGCCCAAGGAGTCACTTCCTATCACAGGGCTGGGAGAGTTACCGTTAGAACTTCTAAAGGCAAGAATTAACCTCTGTGTCAATAGCCTCTACACCAATAAGGGCAAAATCTGACAGAATCCAATCTCATTCATGATAAAAGTGCTTGACAGACTGAAAATAAAAGGGAATTTTCTCAGCCTAATAAGCATTTATGAAAAGTCCACAGCCCACATCATATTAATATTTAATTGTGAATGACTGGATTCGTCCCCACTAAAATCAGGAACAAAACAAGAATGTCTACTCTCACAACTTTTATTCAACATTGTATTGGAGGTTCTAGCCAGAAATTAGGCGAGAAAATGAAATAAAAGTCATCCAAATTGGAAAAAGAGAAGTAAACTACCTCTATTTACAGATGATATGATACAGTATAGTGATGTTTGCACAACATGCCAATATACTAAAATCCATTGAATTATACACTTTCAATGGGTGAATTGTATTGAATATGGTATATGAAGCATATCTCAATGAAGCCATCTTTTTGGGTTTTTTTTGTTTTTTAAATAGGGTCTTGCTCTGTCGCCCAGGCTGGAGTGTAGTGGTGCAATCACGGCTCATGGCAGCTTTGACCTCTTGAACTCAAACGATCCTCCCATCTTAGCCTCCTAGTGGCTGGGACTACAGTTGCATGTCACCATGCTCGGCTAATTTTTGTATTTTTCATGGAGACTGGGTTTCACCATATTGGCCAGGCTGATCTCAAACTCCTGGACTCGGGTGATCTGCCTGTGTCAGCCTCTCAAAGTGCTGGGATTATAGGCATAAGCCACTGTGCCTAGCTAAAGCCATCTTTGTAAGGTGATAAAAACAAAGAATGAAGCCCTTTGGGTCCTCTTTGTGTTTCTGCTGAGGCCTCCCTTTGAAGAGAAAGGGAGGTCTTGGTCTGGGATCAATGAAACAGGGTGACGAAATGTGGCAATGGGAGGAGAGGAACGGTGAGGTTGAGACCTCACAGCATCTTCCTGCTTCAAACTGGGTGGATGGACAGAGGAAGGGAGGGATGGAGAGATGGACAAGCCAACTTTATGGCTGGCCACATCTTGGCTTGGCTTTGGCCAGCAGTGTGTGCTTTGGCCTGGAATCTACTGGAAACAGCTCTGCCCGGGGCCTGGCAACCTGGCGAGGGTAGCAACTTAACCGCTTGTGAGCAACATGCTTCTGGCCAAGTTATGCAACCCCGTTGGGCCTAGTTATCTCATTTGCGCAGTGGGAAAAATTACATACAACAATTATATAAATATCTCGTGGCGTTGTTGTGAGGATCCAACCAGACAGTCTACAAAATAGGCTCAGCAGAGTGCCTGGTACAGAGTAAACACTAAATGTTGGTTCTCCTTTCTCCAGGGCGGCTTCTTGATGAATCTCAACTCTCCTGCCACAGAGATGATAATTATTGCACACTTCACTGTAAGTAAACCCTCCTTGGAGCTTGTCTGCAGGAGTGAACACTGCAGATTATGTGACTTTTGCAGAAAAGTGGAGGGACAGCACCAAACTACTCTGGTGATTAATCTGCAGCAGTGAGTGGAAGCTCGTCTCTGCCCGTCTCCTCTGGCAACACACCACATTTCTGAGTTGTATTCTGAAACCGTCACCAGCCACCAGCATCTGTCCCTGCTGTGATCCTGCTTGGGGTGAGCATTGCTGAGTTGGGTGTCTCCCTGTGCTGTAGGTGGTAAACCACACAGTGTCACATGATGCAACTATGTCTGGGGCCAGTCATTCAGAAAACTCACATGGAGGAGAGGAGGAGAGAAGGCGCTGCAGCTGCTGCCTGGAACTCCAGGTGGCTGCCGTCCAGGGAGCTACAGAAACCTCCATCCCTCCTGGAGACACCCAGCTGAGCCCCAGATAAAAAGTCTTGGAGGGAGTGCCTCGCTCCCTTAGTAAGTAGGGCATGAGCTAGACCTAGGCTGTTTTGTTAATGCAGCTTACCAATTTCTTATCATGATTCTGAAATCTAAATAGCTCTGAAAACTCAAGGACTCGTTTGGCTGCAAAACTTCACCATTTGGGTGACTGCTACAGGATTGATATGTTTAATTATGGAATCTTGCTCCAGGCCCTGCTATGGGTGTTATGTAATATATGGCGCATGGATTGTTTCAACTTTATAAAAGGCTAAAAAGCTTGAATTCTGAAACCTGTCAGACTCCCTAAGTTTCTGGATATGAGAGTGTGGCCTGGAATTCTGGTGCGTCTATTTTACCCTCAGGCTGTGGTCGGAAGAAGCACAATGTACACCCTGGGTATAAAGAGAATGAGAAGAGGCAGAATGCAAACAGCAAAGGGTTTAGAAGTAGAGAGGGCTGGGGTGAATCTTCCTCTAAATCTCTCCACCTGTGGGATCTTGGGAATGCCATCCAGACTTTCTAAGCTTTGGTTTCAGTATCTACAGAACAGAAACACTGTAATAATAATATCTACTTCCTAACCGAACTAGTGGGTGAAGCACTTAATTATTAACTATTTATTCTGCATGCGCACATTCTTGAGCAGTCTCCCACCTGCAAACTGCTGCCGTCTCCTGTTTTAGGCACACGGCCAGTTTCTCAGGACCCTAGCCCTCTTGGCATGGCCCCCTGCCTCCCTACCTCAGACATGCCTTCAGCCTCCCCTAGCGGCAACCCTCAGATGGTCCCCACAGACACCCTTAGTAACTGCTCCCTGCAGCCCCCTGCAGCCCCAGCCACAGCCTGTGAGCCTGAGGGCTGTATTCAGCATCAGAACTCTTACCACTACAGGAGTCTCTGATCTATTTTTCCCCTTCACAACGCTTGTAGCTTTCTTTGCTCTGAGCAGCAAGAAATGAATAATTGCCTAGGGACCAGCTCATGTTGTTTCCCCCCATATATATTTGTTTCAAAATAAAGATACATAATTTTAAACAAATGATTGCAACTGATTTTGACTTAGCTTACTGGATTTTTTTATTGTAGCAACTTAAAGAGAAAACTTTTTAAAGTGAATAAATAGAATAAATAATATTTCATCTTCATATTTTGCCTCCCATTCCTCTCATCTTTTCTTTCTGGAAAACTTCCAGGAGGCTCTTCAGAAATGTCAGCACGTTGCCTGCCACGGTTTGGTTGCATGGCTGTTCACAGGAGAAATACTGTGGGGATGAAAGTTGATAAGGACAGAGTGATGTAGAGCCAAGCAGCCCTGGAGCCAACCTGCTGAGAGCCAGAGTCAGGCATGAAGGAGTGTGTGGATGGGCAGGGAAGGGGCTTGAGACCCAGAACAAACAGGTGGTCAGGTCCAGGCTAGCTCACGTGGTGTAAAGACAGCGCAGGTGGTTGACTTCAAGTTGGATTTCAGGGGTCTATACACACACACACACACACACACACACCCCCCTATCAAGTGGCCCTAAATCTCCCCATTAGAGAAAGTCTTTTCTGGGGACTCTTTGAGGCCTAAAATGGTATCATTATCCTTTTAGGTTGTCTTTCCAAGGTCATTTGACAGCACAATGGCTAAGAACGGGGCTCTGAGGTCAAATAGACCTCAGTTCAAATCTCAGCTCTGCCACTTATTAAATATGCAGCCTTAGGCAAATTAGTTGACCTCACTGAGAGTGGTAAATTGAATAATTGTCCCTAAGGTATGTATTTATTCAGTGAGACAGCATATATGAAGCACTTAGAACTAAATGCTATTGATGGTAGAAACACATGCAGCTAAACATCTGAGCACAGGACTTTCAGCCTTCTATGATCTTGCATGGAGATGCTAACACCTAAAAGAGGCAGGGAGGTCACCCCATCCAACCCGCCACCCCACTCTGCTATTAGGGATTAAGGTATATGCTGAAGAAGAGGATCTGTGGATGGGCATTCAGGACGAGTGGCAAGCTTCCACCTTGACCTGGGTGCATTGACCTTAAACACCCTCTTAATCCAGGTCAGGGAGTGGTGGCTCACACCTGTCATCCCAGCACTTTGGGAGGCTGAGGCAGGCAGATCACTTGAAGTCAGGAGTTCAAGAGCAGCTGAGCCAACACGGTGAAACCTAGTCCACTAAAAATACAAAAATTAGCCGGACATGGTGGCATACACCTGTTATCCCAGCTACTCGGGAGTCTGAGACAAGAGAATCACCTGAACCCAGGAGGTGGAGGCTGCAGTGAGCCAAGATTATACCACTGCACTCCAGCCTGGGCAACAGAGCGAGACTCTGTCCAAAAAACCAAAAAACAAAAACCCTCTTTAAACAACAGGAAAAAAATATCTCTTTTAGCAACACCCATTCGGTTAGTAAATTGAATCTCTAGGCTAATTTAGTGTTATGTGAACTACATCCCTGATTCTCCAGATTGTAGCTTCTAATTACACTCAGAAAGGGTTCTTTCATTATTCCATAAGTGGAGAGAAGTAAAGGCCCCATTAGTGTGTTTTTAAAACTAGGGGGAACAATGGTCTATCTCACTTCAATTCTATTGTTTCATTGAATCTCGCTTTAATTCTATTACTTCTGATTAAATTTCTTAGATCTCCATCAGCCTTGAACTATCAACTCCAACTTTATCATCCTTTTGCATTCAAACAGGGCTGGCATCATGATTCACATAGAAATCACCAACCAGAACATATTACACGTAAAAACAAACTTACTGGACACTTCTTGTTCTCTAGTACTTGAACCGATTTTTTCACCCGACTCAAAATCAGCGAGTATCTTGTTTGCACTGTGGTGTTGGTCATCTGAGACAGTCCCTCCTTGAAGCATGGTCTGGTGCAGTTGTCCTGGTAAATAGTAAGAATTTATTAAAACAAACAGTCTGAGGAGAACTTTGAAAATATATCACAAAGAGCTATGTAATAGAGATGCTTGTGATTTAATCAGTGTAACTCAAACTTGCATTATTTTTAGATAGGTCCATTGCCAGTGTAGGAAGTGTTCTTCAGTAGTTAAAGGGATGCCATCTTTCTACAGTGACACCCCCTGGAGGAGATTTCCAGTATGTTCCATCCAGGAAACATGAGGGCTATGAGCCCTGAAAGAGCTGTGAGTATTCTTTTCAACAGGTGCTTCAAGGCTTGTAAGTTTGAAAGTGCAGAGTGAGGAAAAGCCTTTCCACACCAGCTAATGGGATGTGACAGTTGAATGCAGCTGGTATTTCAGCAGCAGCTAAAAACACAGACTGTACGTCAAGGGGCAGGGGCCATGCTGTCTGCCTGGTTCCTCCCCAGAAGGCACTCTGGCCTCTTCTCATCTAACGGATGGACCTCAATGGGTGCGATATCTCACCCTAGCTGGGGCAAGAAGCTCAGGTTCTCCCAGGCCTTCCATGAGAAAGAAAAAGGCACTGCACCTTGGTGAAGCACATCCTCCTAACCCTAATCAGAAGTTTGAATCAGGAATCAGAACTTTCCTGCCACCCGTCCTTTCTGCCAGAGTGGGCAGTGACCCTCTGGAAGTCCTCCTTCCACCCACAACCCCAGATCCTCTATCTGTCCAGAGGGCAGCATTCAAACCAACAGCCACCCTCATCAGCTAGACAGACAACAGGGAGGTAAGGAGAAAGGGAGGAAGCGGGAGGGGGAGGCATAGCGGGTAGGTAATTCATGCCCAATAAAAAATATGAAGTTATCATTTTATTTACATTGTTTCACAACCCAAGAGTTATCAGCAAATAAGTTAGGAAGCAATACGATATGAGCCATATAGCAATTATTATATCCTTAGTTCCAGCTTCATTTAATCATGCACATGGCCACCTATCTGAAAAGATATTCAAGATTCTTTTTTTTTTTTAGACAGAGTCTCATTTTGTCGCCAGGCGCCAGGCTGGAGTGCAGTGACACAATCTCCGCTCACTGCAACCTCCACCTCCCGGGTTCAAGCAATTCTGCCCCAGCCTCTTGAATAGCTGGGACTACAGGCACACGCCACCACGCCCAGCTAATTTTTGTATTTTTAGTAGAGACAGGGTTTCACCATGTTGGCCAGGATGGTCTGGATCTCTTGACCTCGTGATCCGCTCGCCTCGGCCTCCCAAAGTGCTGGGATTACTGGCTTGAGCCACTGCGCCCGGCCTCAAGATTCTTTTATTTAATGTTGAGAAGTGTTTAAACTTCCCAAGAGGCATAAAGTTAACTAAATACAAAAAAAAAAAAAAAAGTTCGTAATATAAGATTTCAAGATCATAGCTTTAAAAGGGAGTAATTTGGGCCAGGCGCGGCAGCTCATGCCTGTAATCCTAGCACTTTGGGAGGCCGAGGTGGGTGGATCACCTGAGGTCAGGAGCTCAAGACCAGCCTGGCCATCATGGTGAAAGCTCATCTTAAAAAAAAAAAAAAAAAAAAAGGGAGTAATTTGTAACAATGTGATTTTAACAGGGAACACTAATCTGTAACAATTGAATTAAACCACTATTTATAACATTAAATAGTAAATAAAGCAACTTATTTTTATGTAAAAACAAACCTAAAAAACCCAAGGTCAAAATTATATTCTTCACTATACTTACAGAAGGAATGGGCAGACAGAGACAACTGGTCACCTGCAAGAGAAATTTCAGAGTGAAGATTCCAGATGGGAAAATTAAAATTAATTTGGAAATTTCTTAAAGAGCATTCACTCACATTAGCTCTGCAGTTGCAATTCGAAGACAGATCTTCCTAAAGTAGATAGAGAGATAAGAACCTCTAGTCAGCCCTGAGTTTTTTCATCTTCATACATACTTCGCTTTGTCAGTAGCCATCTTTCCCACGGGCGCCCCCTACAGCCTACCTGCATCTTGTCGATAAGGTAATTGATGTCCCTGATGCCCAAAAACGTTGGACACCCATGGCCGGCAACCGAGCACAGGAGCAGCGCAGAAGTAAGGACCGTGGCCAGAAGCATCTTGACAGATGACCAGAGTGCGCCTGCAGACACCTTCAAATTGAGTGATATTTAAAGCTCCCTCTCAAACATGGGAAAACCCTGACATCAAACTGATACTTTTTCTGACACCAAGAGCCCACTTTTTCTCCGTAAGTTGGGGCCACCTGATATTAACAAACAAAAAAATCAAACTGAGTCACTTGACAATGATGATGCTGTGCCAGGAAATGTCATTGCTCAGAACAGATGATTTTCAAAAAGTGGAGTACTGAAATGCTGAAGGAAAAGTTAAAGATCTAACCCCTCCCTCCAAAAACATTTAAAGACAAGTATTCTGGTTGTGAGAGTTAGAATACTTTCCATGAAAGCCCAGGTCTGTATTTTCCCTTTTTACATTATGGGAAACGCTGATATAATACAGCCAATCACGGGTGTTCTAAGGAAGCGGGGCCTGGGGAGAGGGAGTGGGTTGGGGGGAAATGTGTGATATTGCATGCCTCCACTTCTCACTGTTGGGGTTTTCCTTTAGTAATTACAACCTTGGTCTTACTATCCTTTATTCCCAAATCTCAATGGTTTTCTTACCCAGGACTAAATTCGCCACCTAATGCAAATGCATCTTAGAAGTATCCCTTTGTGAAAGTGTCTGAAGGTAGAAATCTTCAACTATAAGCACAAGAATGTAGCACCCATGCTTGTTAAAATTAGCCTTGAGGACCCCTTAGTATCTTTAGAGACCTTGTATAACACTGTATGACATCAAGTAAAAACCCAGTACTTGAAATACGATAGTAGCTAATATTTGCTGAGCACTTACTACATACTAGCAACTATTCTAAGCACTTTATGTGCATTAAGCCATGTAATACACTCAACCACCAAACGAGGTGGGTAGTAATTCGTCATCCCTGTTTTTTACGATTTAAAATATTGTCTACATCTTAGCTTTCTCATCCTTCAGTATAGCTGTGTTTAATCACTACGCATCAAAAAAAAAGTCTCACTGGAGCTTTATGAAGTACTATAATTATTCTTATCTTATAGATGGAGAAACTGAGGCATAGAGAGGCAAGTAATTTGCCCAAAACCACAAAGCCAGGAAGCTGCAGAATTTGTATTCAAGCCCAGAAGTCAGGCTCCTGAGTTCAGCTCTTAATCCTCCTGAGCTCCTGTTTTTCTTCAGATCTTTTATCTGCTTCTCCCACCAGGATATGTGCTCTAGGGCTTTATGGGTCCAATTCACCCCTATATTCTCAACACTTAAGAAGGTGCCTAGGGGACTGTGGGAACTCACTAAATGCTTGTTGAATTAAAACACTAATTTGAAAAGTAACTCTTGAAATAGAAACTTCTTATTTCTGGGATTTATAAGATTTCAAATCTGATTTCTAGGGTACATATTTGGAGGCATGTGAGGTAAGTAAAGATAGCCTCTACACAGTAGACTGAAAAGGTGAGGGGTTCTTTAACTTAGCACTGTAAGCCATAGTAGCCAATGGGGACAAACTCATAAGATTTCCTTGCCACCACTGTAAGAGTATGGCAATACTGTTTTTCTCATTGTGTGTCGTTCCTTAGGAATAATGATGGATCATCAGTGTTCCACTCCACCATGGGGAAGGGAGTGTGTTGGTGGTAAACAAGGTAAAGAGAAATTGGCTTTTTGTTGAATTCCCTTAAGCCATTCCACATCTCTGACTTCCATGCCTGCTCTTTGCAGACACTTAAGAGAAAACTCAAAGGATTCCCAGCCTACGGCAAACACTTTTGTTGCAGAGTATGGGATGGATCCCTTTTTCTTGATGATAGAATTCTGATGAGTTTGGGGTAGCAATGTATCCAGCCAAACACCCACTTTTTCAGCCTCTTTTGCTGCTACATGTAGCCATGCAGCAAGTTTCCATCAATGCAAAGTATGTAAAATTATTTTGCTTTCCTGGTAATAAGAGACAAAAGTGGCTGAATCCTGTCTTTCCCCTTAATTTCAATTTGGGTGTGATGGCAGGAGCTTCAGCAGCAACCTTGTAACTATGAAAAAATGGACAAGAGAATTACAGTAATGGCAACACTAACTTTTTTCATAAGTCGCAAATAATCGAAAAGGCAATAAAAAATAAAACCATGAACCTAATAACAGAAGTAACAATAGTAGTACAACAATGATACTAAAATTCTAGCTAGCTATCACTGCCTACTGAGGACCCTGAGTTATAAAACTTGTTCTAATTTTAAAAAAGAAAAGAAGATTAGCAGCTTTGGAGAGATTTTAAAGATACATTAACACCAGACTCAACCTTCTTCCCTGACGTTATTGGAAGACTTGAAAGAGATGTGAAAGCCAGGTGTGGTGGCTCATGCCTGTAATCCCAGCACTTTGGGAGGTTGAAGCAGGTGGATCACGAAGTCAGGAGTTCAAGATCAGCCTGGCCAAGATGGTAAAACCTGTCTCTACTAAAAACACAAAAATTAGCCAGGCATAGTGGCAGGTGCCTGTAATCCCAGCCACTCAGGAGGCTGAGGCAGAAGAATTGTTTGAACCCGGGGGGTGGAGATTGCAGCGAGCCGAGATCGTGCCGTTGCACTCCAGCCCCGGTGAGAAAGTGAGATTCCATCTCAAAAAACAAAAATAAAAAAGAGAGAGATGTGAAAAGGCAATCATCTTTCCATTCCGCGAATCAACATTATTTGATGCTCTGTGTGTGAACCATGGAAATCATTTCACCTGCCATCGGGTATGCTTCTCACATTGAAGAAAACACCACCCCACTCCTGTTGTACAGATGGGGGCTTTACCCAAAAAGAGAAAGTCACAGCTCTAGCTTCTAGCAGGGGATGGTATAGTGCAGTGGTTAAGACCGGTGACTCTGGAATCAGAACGCCTGGGTTCAAGTCCTGCCTTTATCACTTGTTAGCTGCATGGCCTTGGGGGGATTGCTTGGCCTCTCCCAGCTTCCATTTCTTGACTGTAAATGAGGATGATGGTGTGGGAATGGGGATTTGGGGATGTTGAGCTGAGGTTGTCAGAGAAAGCCTGCCTCAGGGCACTCCCATTGAGATTAAAAGAAAAAGAAACAGCTCCTCCATCCCTAACTTGGCTTAAGTAGTCTCAGGTTTGAAGTTCATCAGGGCAAAGCAGCCTAGGTTAGGGGTCAACAAACTGTAATCCACTTTTCAGGTAGAGGGTAAGGTCTGCAAACTAAGAACAATATTTACCTTTTTAAATGTGTAAAGGGTTAAAGTTTAACTCCTTTAAGCATTAAAGTTTATAAAGAAATAATTAACAAATAAAAACAAAGAAGCATGTGTGGCAGAGACCGTATGCAGCCCACAAAGCCTAAACATTTATTATCCGGCCCTTTACGGAAAAAGTTGGCCATCCCTTGTTGAGTTCCCACACCCCACTCCTCATTTTCTGAAGATATCATCTATTATCTTTCAGTCTGGGGAAGGGTAGAACTAGGCATTGGTGGCTCAGGTGTCTCTTCTCTCATTCCTCATCTGGTTATTCAGCTCAGGCATCTGTAGATGGAAGGGAGCCAGAGTCCTGGGCCACAGACTGTCAGATTATCCGAAGTGGTGGAGGTCTGTCATTTCCTGGGGTTTTCTATGGAGTGAGCTCGCTGATCCAGTGAACCAAAGATTTTCTCTTAGTGTAAACACGTAACTGCAGGAAAGACATCGCAGGCAGGCTCTGGTTTACTAGGAAAAGTCCCACATATTGAAGTTAGGAGAAAAGTGAGTGAATGGACTTAACAACCTAAGTCTTGGCTTGACCAGCAGGCCTTGGATCACCCATCTTCCCTGCCACCCCCAGGACCTGGCTCAGGATCAAGGGATCCATGGCCACTGGTGCTCCTTGGGCAGGTTACTTACCCTTTCCACGTACCGACGTACCCCCAGCGCTCACTCACTTAGAGAAAGGAATGTGGGCCTTCACCTAGCCCTTCCTCATCGCAGACAGGAGTGCTCCATTTGGGATATAGTCTCAGGAATGAGCCGTGTTTCCATTTGGAAATGTGGCGCGGTCTGGTCCAGATGCCTCACACTTTGCTCTCCCGTCACCACCACCCTCCAGTCACATCGGTTTCTTTTCATTTCCATCCTCCAGACCTTCACCCTTGCTAAGCTCTGCCTGCTGGGTTCTTCCTCAGCTCCTTCCTACATGGCCTGTTCTCATGCTTCAGGACTCAGCTCAATTACCACCTCCTCCACGAGACTGTCCCTGACCACAGCAGTCACTGCCATCTGCCCTGTGCCTCTTTCAGTGTCTGTTTCTCCCAGCAGAAAGTCAGTTCCGTGGCAGTGGATGCAACAATGGACCCTCTCACTCATCACTGTATTCCCAGGGCACGGTCTATAAGGAGTGCTCAGGAATTCCTGGTTAAATGAATAAATGGCTAATACATTTAATGTTGTAAACATTTATTAAATTAGTGTTATTGATGAAATGAACAGAAGACCAGTAACAAACAAAAAGTTGGCGTCACATAAAGACCTAAACACGGAACACATTTGAAAAGTGATGAAGCAACAAGGGGGTAAGCCTCCTGCCATTCTGTAGCCCCTTACATGGGTGCAGGGTTTGACTGAAGTGCCTTTCTATCTCTTCTTTCTTTGGATTCTTATACTAACTGCACGAGGAAGGCATGCGTGGTGCAGGAACTCCTCTGCAAAGGATGAAGCAGAGAGAAGACAGGTGAGGCGACTGGTTCTTTAGAATTCTTTCCCATTTCCCCACCCACTCAGTTATAAAAAAGAAAAGAATAAAGGGTTGTTAAATGGTAACTCTGCAGTTCAAAATACCATTAAAACAGCAGATGTTTATCTAGGCAAAGTCTACATCTTTTGAAGTTTAGCTCCTAGGATTTCTTTCAGTATCAAAATGTAAGTATGCAAATAAGCTGCAGAGCAAATACACCACGCTCAGAAATCAATTACTCACCTATTTTAAATATCAAGAAGAATGGAGTGCAATGCATACCAAGAGTTATCATAGATAACAAATTTTACAATAAATG